TGTTTATATAGTGTGATTATGTAGGGAGAATGTTTATATAGTGTGATTATGTAGGGAGAATGTTTATATAGTGTGATTATGTAGGGAGAATGTTTATATAGTGTGATTATGTAGGGAGAATGTTTATATAGTGTGATTATGTAGGGAGAATGTGTATATAGTGTGTTTATGTAGGGAGAATGTTTATATAGTGTGATTATGTAGGGAGAATGTTTATATAGTGTGATTATGTATGTAGTGTGGAGAATGTTTATATAGTGTGATTATGTATGGGAGAATGTTTATATAGTGTGATTATGTAGGGAGAATGTTTATATAGTGTATATGTATGTTTATATAGTGTGATTATGTAGGGAGAATGTTTATATAGTGTGATTATGTAGGGAGAATATTTATATAGTGTGATTATGTAGGGAGAATGTTTATATAGTGTGATTATGTAGGGAGAATATTTATATAGTGTGATTATGTAGGGAGAATGTTTATATAGTGTGATTATGTAGGGAGAATGTTTATATAGTGTGATTATGTAGGGAGAATGTTTATATAGTGTGATTATGTAGGGAGAATGTTTATATAGTGTGATTATGTAGGGAGAATGTTTATATAGTGTGATTATGTAGGGAGAATATTTATATAGTGTGATTATGTAGGGAGAATGTTTATATAGTGTGATTATGTAGTGTGGAGAAGAATGTTTATATAGTGTGATTATGTAGGGAAGAATGTATTATATATGTGTTATATATGGGAGAATGTTTATATAGTGTGATTATGTAGGGAGAATGTTTATATAGTGTGATTATGTAGGGAGAATGTTTATATAGTGTGATTATGTAGGGAGAATGTGTATACAGTGTGATTATGTAGGGGGAATGTTTATATAGTGTGATTATGTATGGGGAATGTTTATATAGTGTGATTATGTAGGGAGAATGTTTATATAGTGTGATTATGTAGGGAGAATGTTTATATAGTGTGATTATGTAGGGAGAATGTTTATATAGTGTGATTATGTAGGGAGAATGTTTATACAGTGTGATTATGTAGGGAGAATGTTTATATAGTGTGATTATGTAGGGAGAATGTTTATATAGTGTGATTATGTAGGGAGAATGTTTATATAGTGTGATTATGTAGGGAGAATGTTTATATAGTGTGATTATGTAGGGAGAATGTTTATATAGTGTGATTATGTAGGGAGAATGTTTATATAGTGTGATTATGTAGGGAGAATGTTTATATAGTGTGATTATGTAGGGAGAATGTTTATATAGTGTGATTATGTAGGGAGAATGTTTATATAGTGTGATTATGTAGGGAGAATGTTTATATAGTGTGATTATGTAGGGAGAATGTTTATATAGTGTGATTATGTAGGGAGAATGTTTATAAAGTGTGATTATGTAGGGAGAATGTTTATATAGTGTGATTATGTAGGGAGAATGTTATATATAGTGTGATTATGTATGGGAGAATGTTTATATAGTGTGATTATGTATGGGAGAATGTTTATATAGTGTGATTAGTGTGATTATGTAGGGAGAATGTTTATATAGTGTGATTATGTAGGGAGAATGTTTATATAGTGTGATTATGTAGGGAGAATGTTTATACAGTGTGATTATGTAGGGAGAATGTGTATACAGTGTGATTATGTAGGGAGAATGTTTATACAGTGTGATTATGTAGGGAGAATGTTTATATAGTGTGATTATGTAAGGGGAATGTGTATACAGTGTGATTATGTAGGGAAAATGTTTATATAGTGTGGTTATGTAGGGAGAATGTTTATATAGTGTGGTTATGTAGGGAGAATGTGTATATAGTGTGATTATGTAGGGAGAATGTTTATATAGTGTGATTATGTTTATATACGAACAGGTTAGAGGATAATTTGAGCTGTGTTAATTCATGCAATTTATTTCTTTTCAGAATGATGAATAATATGGCATAGGAAAACACACATGTCACCATAATCATAATCAAAACTCGGAGTACCAAGAGAACAAGGAATCTAACAAGAGAACCAACAGGCAACGTAAACAGCGTCAAACACAAACTAATATAACATTTCCAATTGAGATCACTATGACAATCGTAAAACTTCCCCATAATTTCATTAATCTGCATTTTTTGAAACACTGCGTTATGTGTTTGTCAGTTGATGATCGTGAATATGCGGACAGGCCCTAACCAAAACAGCGTATGGTCCATCTTGTCCGAAGTTATTAAACAAAAACAACATAAAAACAACATAAATCATTTCACTGCTTTAGATTGTTTAGGTTAATAAGCTAGATATATATACGATTCTTCTAAATAAAAAAAATAGATATAATAAGTAAATGAGTACCATTGTTTTTGCCATCTCAACGATTCTTACCTTCTACTGTACGTTGTAAATGCTATTGTAATCTGACAACCAGCGGGGCCGACTAATTAAGGATGAAATATGACACCTGTTTGTAATATAACATACGGTTATGCAATATGAACGACGTTTTAATTGTGCGCTCCGGATACATATTCTTACGTCATGCTAAACAATCATAAAACATGAGCTTGTCATATATGTCTTTGTACCTGATACTGGAGCGTTTACCGCATACATTGTACCAGCTTTGTCATTCAAGGGGTAAAACAAATCATTTTTGCATCGTGGTATCAGTCTTGGTACATTGATCAAACATTTCCATGTTTTTAGTAATGTTATTCTTGTCTGTTATTTTATTCAGAAAGTGACAAAGACATATGAAAAGTAGAAGGACAAAAAGGCCACGTGTTACTTCTTTTGCATCACAGCTATCAGATGAAAAACCTGCTGCAAAATACAACTACGTTAACAGACTAGGAACATCTTATCATAGCATCAGCACCCGAGGAATATCTCGTCATCAACACAAGCTGCAAAATATGATAGTAACAACATATGTTGATGTCAACAACAATGATCATACAGATATATGAAACATGTAAAATAACGCAACATTAGGATCTGTGTCGGCATCAGGACGTAATACACCAGGGTAACAAGTCAGATATAGACAGGCTGTGACAAAGAAATAAAGCAACACCTAAATAGACAGACCACAGCGTCAAAAACACCAATGCTCTTTATCATATTACACAAACATTAATATATATCACAGCGGATACGATTCCTCTAGAGAAACGCAGTCCTTACGCAGCACATTTGGTTCTCCATTTCCCTATCAAAAGACAGGAAAAACGTTCACACAAACGTGTATTAATATTTTCAGTAAGGAATAAGTACAAATTACAAATTCAGAAACAATGAAATTAACTAATGCCACGGTTTCGTCTTTCTAGGACTCATTAGTGATGAATGGGGTCTAAAGTTTGAATAGCAAGAGGACGATTTGGGAATTTCAAATTTGAGTATGGACGTAGATATACACATACCACATAATTCAGTCAAACTTGTCGAGTTACACATTCCAAACCTAAATGCCACGTTTTGATTCATTTGAATAGTGTCGCGGTTCAGAACATTCACAGGTATTTGGCGTTGTTCACCATCACAAAATCTATTGAATTATGGAATAAGTACACCTCTACATCTAAAATTTGACATTTCTTTCGATCTTTGGATTTTCTTCAGTCGTCTGAAAAAGTCGACCTCAAAACTAAGTCAATAAAATCGTTTTTGCAAACAAACATTTATAAAAAAAAAAAAAAAGAGGCGAGGAAACAAAACAGAGGAAAGATTTACACGGAGATTCTTGAAAAAGTATAAGGGATACTGAGACCAGGTGTTCCTGAAATGTAAACGTCTTCTGCGTCATCGACGTCACTTGCCATATAAAAACCTGGTCAAAGCAAGTAGCTAATATCACATAATGAGAACAAGGTAAACAACTACGTAACCAACAGGCATACTAACGAACATTAAACACGCCCTTGTTCGTATCGCACAAGGAAATAGAGTATTTCTCAATGTCTCAATGAGATCAATATGATAAAACATCCCTATAATCTTCATCTACTTGTATCTCGGGGGACTATACAAGAGAATGCCAACGTGAAATGAAGAAAAAGCTAACATATATTGTGTTACAGATATCTAAGTGATTATGTGTGTCCATCGTATTGCATATGTAGGAACGATGATTCATTTCAACTAGAATATATTGAAGATGCTGCAACGATGCTGGGAATTAGGAAATAATTTGGAAAGATTGACATTGTCTGATATCTTACTTTTGTTGGTAAGTAAAGGTGGTATAAAGGTTTCAACGACAGGCAGGTAATAGAGTTGTTACACTAAAATGTTAAAGGCGGAAAGGAACACGGTAGCAGGTGCTTACATCCAGTCACATGAATATTGAAAACTGTCACATTTTCCCTCATTAAAAAATCGACGCGCACTCAATTCAAAAACCTTGATCTGTGTCTATCAGAACTATCACAAGCATTTCTCTGTGAGACTGTCGCCTCATATTGAGACCAATAGTGGAACATTACGAGGCGTTATTATTTGCAGAAATTAATTTACATCTGTTTGGCAAATTCAGCATAATATCCAACAGAGACAGAAGTGTGAGTTAAGGTACATTGGATACCTTCAAAATAGCTTTTCGATATGATGGATTGCAATGTCGATAATGAATTATTCATTTGAGTTGAATCCGTATAAAAACATGCATATGGAATGTAAATAGAAGAATTGCAATGAACACAGCTCATATATATACATATATATTTCAATAATACAATGATATTTGTTTATTGTTACTTTACGTCCAATTAACAATCAGTGTCCTTTAAGGACAAGCCTGGTTTGGGTTGTGGATAAAAGCCCGAGGGAAAAACCACCGACTTTCGCTTTGAGCCTGCAACCCAGAAGTGTAGGGCAAGTCATGAAGACAATCAGACCCCTTAACCACTCGGCCAACGACGCCCAATTTTAAATAGGAAATAAGTAAAAGATAATTTTATACATGCATTATGGTCGTTGTATGGCATCTTGTACTTACCTGTTAGTACCTCCTGAGACAAAGCACCTCCCAAGAACAGGATGGTGACCAATATTCCTGATAAAGTCCGTAACAAATATATCATGTCTACTTGTATAAAAATCTACCTTAAATGCACACGTCTTTACCACTACGTTCAGGGGTATAGTTGTCGTTAATATCACATGGGAGTTCTCCGTGACCGAAATACGTCCGTCGGTCTCAAGTAATAAAATATGCTAATGATTGGAGAAATTATAACTTTTTTATAACTGTTAATTATCTCATACATTCTGGGTGATTTATCATTAAGTTAGGTTTAGCTGTCAACTCAACAAGCGCCATGAAACATTCAGTGAATGCTACTCTTTTTTCAAGATTACATTAATAATGAGAAATGAGCTTTATTTCCATGCTTGTACCAGTTTTAGCACTAAAACTGACAGTGACATGTCTGCCATTCAAGACGCCTCGGATTAACCAACATATACAGCTTTCCAGCAAGCTGTGTGACAAGCGTGGTGATTGCAATTTCCCAACTGTTAATTTTCCATTTCTGGATAGGGATAACCCTATATCTCCAAACTATGTTTTTACTTATCGTAGTTGATTCAATATCCAAGGGCATGTTCCAATTATCACGATCATCGTGCAAGAAGTCCTCGATTTGTACGATTTTCATAATTATCTCATAGAAGAATATTTGGGGTTTTTTTTTGTGCCATATAAAGTCGGGTGTTTTTGATGCTCGTTAGTTTGTTTGTTCCATTATTGCATATCTCGTTCTCATTTACAAACGTTACTGGGAATGATCAAGATTTACATGGTGGATACCAGCGATGACGCAGACCATAATTTCTCTTGTCTTCTCCTTCTTTCATGTGCTTCTGTGTAAATCTTTCTTTCGTTAATATTTTGCCTTTGTTTAATTAAATTTGAGCATGGATTATGATTATGTTGATATGTTTTGTTGTTTTTCATGGTGCCCTATTCTGTGGTATAATAGCTTTGTTTAAAATATGTAAATTAACACGTCTAGATGTAGTTATAATACATTCAAGAAAAATCTTTCCGACGTTAATCATCTTGGCGAGTTTTGGTATTGTGTGATACCAAACTATCCTGAAGAAAGAACAGTGTATCTTTGATTTTCTTCAGCAGGATCTATCCAGTATCGACATATCAACAGTATCTTAATTCAAGTCTATAAAACTACATCAGCGACCAGTGAAAGCGTAAAAGGAAATTAAGATAAGATATTTCCTAAGATTAAGCGTCTTATATTCATCGACATCTGCCAAGTCAATCCAAGCAAACTGTGCACGTTTACCAATTAAACCATAGGTTGAGGAAAGCATGGTGGTTACTCACTAGAAATGGCAAACTTACAATAAATTAATCAAAATCATCACGATTATCATACAACGTGGTAAAAATATCAAGGTAAGTTATTTGTCGTGTAACTGATTTTAAATTAATACCCCTCAGTATAGGTTGGTTACCATAGTAATGATAAAAGCCTTTTAGGAGATTATCTCAAAATATTTTAAATAGTTTGTTTAATCACTTAACGTTTTTTCATTATCGGTATATTTTTGTTTGCCTTCTGACGCCCGTCTCTCGAAAACGTTCCGGTATACTTCATTATCGAATACTTTTATCGTCGTTCGTTCGTCTTTGAAAACACAGCGAGAGAAAAAGCGAATTTCTTAAGTTTTTTAAGTGAACAGAAGAAAAATATGATAAACCGACTTCCTAATGGAAGAAAAGTTTCGCAGGAAAGAATGTTCAAGTTTGGTCAAACACGTTTTGCGCTAATTTGCACTTCACTTTCCATTTCTTTATAATCACATCATAGACTGTAACACTTTATTCACATTACTAAGAATGACTAACCGACGTAGGCTAAAGTATTGGTTTGACAACTAAACAAGTCAGTAACAAAACACTCTTTATGTGACTACAGAGTTCCATATCATGTAAATCCAGGAGTCTGGTCTTGGCATCAGGATCAAGACGTAGACACCTGTAGTCTATTTTCCACCTTGTATGTGAATACAGCATGTTCCCGTTTATCTGAAAACGTGAATCGTACCCATACTCTGGTTTCTTGAAATTCTCATTCCATCATGACAGGACATTCACAATATTTTGGTGTCTTTGGAAGCTTATCATTTTCGATGATACGTAAAGTGTCATTAACTATTCTTATTTTGACCATTGTAATATGGAGAGGTAGCTCAGGGTAATGCCGAAGGAAATTGAATTTCAAGGTCATCTGAATTAAAGAGCCAGAGCCACTCCGTTAAAGATATTTTTCATATGTTATTGACTGGAAATGTTATATACTAATAGATAATATATAAATAAAGACTTGTATTAAGATTCGAACTTGAAATTGAAAGGGTACCGGAGATATCGATGCCGGAATTAGTCTCATAAATCAACACCAGGATATGAATATTGATGAGGAAAAGTCACGTGATACGTTCAGACGCGGTCGGATCCAAAACAAAAATGGAGGAAGAAGTGAGTAGTACGTCCATGTGACATCGCTTGTAAAGAGATTTTAACGATAAATGCAATCAATACTCTATATATCCTGTATGGAAATCATCTTACATATGTATTGATCATGTCTTTCAATGCTTAGATATGACACAGAAACGTGCAGATTACGAGAAAAAGTAAGATTAACTGCAAAGAAGCCCTCAAATGGGGGCTACGATACGATAACGAACATATATAGCATCGCAAAATGGATCTATCTAAAGCGAATATTCGATGATAAGAGTATTTATGAATATGATTTTAGAGTGATAGTATACGATATAAATCTTTGCCTTTGATATATTACGGTTTGCGCATGCGTCAGAGAGCAGGACTTCCCGCATGATTTTGAATTAGCACTGAGTCGTTTCGAATTATTTTTTAAAACTATTTATTACGTTAGATTGGTAGCGATTTACTTTAAAATTGCGGTATTACAGGGTTAGTCAGAACTTTTGCTATCCGAGAAAAATAGAAAAACATCATTTTTTTTATATAAAATGATATCGGTCGAGGAGTGGGTCTGGCTCTTTAAGCTGTTGGGTTTTCTTTTGGGTAATTGAAAGCTTTGCATGAAGTTGGCTTTGAGTACAGGTAACTGCAGGATAGGAGTATTCCAGTTCTTTGATAATCCTGCACCAGGCTGTACTGAAGGAATGTGGTCTCGCCAACAAACAAACATGACTAGCGAGTGTCTACTCTCCAAACCACAAATGGTTCAAGATGCACTTCTGTGTTTTGCCTTGCTTTATTCATTAGCTTAGTTTTGCTGGTAGATTAATTTTAACCTTTCCCACAGTGGTGACGTTACAAATGTGTATTTTGGTCTGTTATTTGTGTTGACATATTAGTGCATATGGTTATAGTGCAGGAAACAACGAGATGGTTAGGTAGGATGATACATTCTGTTCTGTATGTGGTACGTTCCGTTCTGATAAAAATGAACCCTTTGAGGCCACGATTTCTTAGTTAGTCGTGTAAAGAAATAATTATATCGTAATATCAATGAATTGGTATTCGACAGAAAACAGACAAGAATCTAACCACTTTAATCTTTTTCCCAAATAACACTTCTGTAAATGTAGAATGAAAATTATCTAGAAAGGAGGACTCTCTTAAGTGATATGTCTGTGTCATAAATGTCCAGGTTTCATAAGTATCCGAGATGTCTTGGCACATCTTAAATATATAGGTATCTGAAGTAACTATAGTACCAATGTAGCTGTAATCTGATGTCTCGTAAATGTCTTAATGTCTTGAGTATATTAAATGTTTTGGTATCTGTAGTATAATAGATATGATGCTTTTCAAAGTGTTTGGTATCTTAAATATTTGTATATCCTAAGTAATGGAAATGCCTAGGTGTTTTACGATTGGTGTTAAAAAGAGACAAAAAGTGTTACTACGAACTTGTCAATAGATAGAAGGCTTCTACTTGCCAATGTCAACAATCACTAACAAAAAGGAAAGTCTTCTCTACAGACAATATAAACCAATTTATCTAAAATAACATTTAAGGACAGTTCTCAGACAATATAAACCAATTTATCTAAAATAACATTTAAGGACAGTTCTCAGACAATATAAACCAATTTATCTAAAATAACATTTAAGGACAATTCTCAGACAATATAAACCAATTTATCTAAAATAACATTTAAGGACAGTTCTCAGACAATATAAACCAATTTATCTAAAATAACATTTAAGGACAGTTCTCAGACAATATAAACCAATTTATCTAAAATAACATTTAAGGACAGTTCTCATACAATATAAACCAATTTATCTAAAATAACATTTAAGGACAGTTCTCAGACAATATAAACCAATTTATCTAAAATAACATTTAAGGACAGTTCTCAGACAATATAAACCAAATTATCTAAAATAACATTTAAGGACAGTTCTCAGACAATATAAACCAATTTATCTAAAATAACATTTAAGGACAGTTCTCAGACAATATAAACCAATTTATCTAAAATAACATTTAAGGACAGTTCTCAGACAATATAAACCAATTTATCTAAAATAACATTTAAGGACAGTTCTCAGACAATATAAACCAATTTATCTAAAATAACATTTAAGGACAGTTCTCAGACAATATAAACCAATTTATCTAAAATAACATTTAAGGACAGTTCTGAGACAATATAAACCAAATTATCTAAAATAACATTTAAGGACAGTTCTGAGACAATATAAACCAAATTATCTAAAATAACATTTAAGGACAGTTCTGAGACAATATAAACCAAATTATCTAAAATAACATTTAAGGACAGTTCACAGACAATATAAACCAATTTATCTAAAATAACATTTAAGGACAGTTCTCAGACAATATAAACCAAATTATCTAAAATAACATTTAAGGACAGTTCTGAGACAATATAAACCAAATTATCTAAAATAACATTTAAGGACAGTTCTCAGACAATATAAACCAAATTATCTAAAATAACATTTAAGGACAGTTCTGAGACAATATAAACCAATTTATCTAAAATAACATTTAAGGACGGTTCTCAGACAATATAAACCAATTTA